ACTGGCTCTAGATAGGGCCATTCAAGGCCACCAATATGCCGCTAAATCCTACACACTGGACTTTTCAGTAAATTTAGTGAACATTCTAATTCACGATGACATCCTTATGGCTACGCCTTTAAACATGTCAATGGACGTTTACATAGAATATTTTGCCTTTACAGAACCTGGGATTTTAGCTATATACAATGGTTGTATATGATAAAGTACAGTATGTAATGGCTGATCTGCCCAAATGTCAAATTAATGCCGATAATTTTAGAAAAATGGCTTCCCACTAGCACCCACATTTATGCACCTTCAGTAATAATGCTCAGATCCACTGCAGATTTATGCCAAGTTTGAAGTACTCTCACCTCCTCTAGTGTGATTGCAGTCCAGCTCCTCACCTTGAAGTGTGCATAGCTATTATTTCCAATCAGCACTGATAATGCCACCAGGAGCAAATCCCTTATCTACATCCATTCAAATGTTAAGTGAACAAGAGGACGAATTGTTATTACAGTTCATGTGTTGTTACATCATCATCTAGGTTGTTGGTTTCGTTGAATAAAATGACATCCAGAGATGTGGATTAAAATGAAGTGGAAGTAACTCAAGTGAAAGTATTTTGGAGAAATAAATATTTCAGTATATATGCGAGTGAAGCATTGATCAGACCGACTCAGCCCTGTTGGTTTATTCATATGCTTTATGTTGGGTGTGCTCATCTCTGGATGAAGAGCTCGGTCTAACACACATTCATTACAGGGGATCCTTTTGTCTCATTAGACAAAACAAACCATATACCGTATAATGATGACAACACAGCCTTGGCAAACAAAAGATAAACAAGCACCAAGCAGTGCATTTTTCTATTTTTCATGTCAACTCACTGGGCTGTCCAGACTCTCTTTATATCTGGAAGAATAAGCTTTTATTTTGTAATATTTCCACACCAGCCCTCCTTGCATCCCCTCCCTTCCTGTCTGCCTGTGCGGCTCCTCAGTGTTCACTCTTTGTCTCTGTTAAAGATTCACGGTGTCCTTCAGCCATCACTCATGCTCTCTCTCACTCTAGTCAAGAGGCATGGGTGGAGACTGGTCTCAGCTCATGACAGAGGAGGGCTGTAAAAGCAAGGCTGAGGCACTCAGTCCTCTGAGAATGCGTTAGCTGGCAGTTGGCGCTTCTCTCATCATGACTGTGACTCATAGTGCTTGCTTGATGACAATGGCTTGGTGATGAGACCAGCTCTGGCCGCAATGACCCTGGTGGACAATGTACAGCTCCTGCATCTAGTTCATATTAGGAAATCTCATTGTAAATTATTTATTTGAATAGAGCTGCATCTAATGATTATTTTAGTTATTGATAAATGTGTCCATTATGTTTTCCACTGATCGTTTTGTCTTTTAAATTATGAAAAGTGCCCATCACAAGTTCCCAGAGCCAAGGTTACTTGTTATGTCAGACCAACAGTCTAAAACCCAAAGATATTTAATTTACAATTTTATCAAAGAAAAAAGGAGAGCCTGTGAGACAATTTATTATTCTTAATATTTCCTCAAACTCTACAGTATGTAAATGGTTATAGATTGGCCTGTAATGAAGCTTTAGTTAAAGGCATATTCTGTGATCTAGATCTCTCACCAACAAAATGTATAATGCACTAAACAACTAGTGAATCTTAATATGTTTTTAAATCATCTGATGGACTTGAATATGATTTGTTTTTAGTCCATTATAATAAATCCCTAAATTAAAAAGGTGCTGTTAATATATAATTTATTAACCAGGCTAGTTGTTTCCCCTTGTTCCCAGTCTTCGTGCTAAGCTAAGCTAAACGACTGCTTGCGGTAGATTCACATTCACTGTGCAGTGGTAACAATCTTCTCATCTAATTCTCAGTTAAAAACAAACTCAAACTTCAAACTCTTCCTTTAAATCACCTCACCCTACATCCTCCTGTTTCTCCTGTTCCTGATTCCTGAAACAAATGCACTACTGCAGCTAAGAATGAATCCCTTAATTCACAACCTACATCCAACTCTGACTGTATATCTCTTATACAGTATGTTTATTAATGCTTTAGGGTGGTTGTTTCTGAGTGTGGGCAGAAAACAGCCAGCGGAGGAGGCAGGTATGGATGTTTGATCTTATTCTGAGGCTGAGGCAGGCTTGTTGATGAAGCTGCCGCAGCTTTGATGCTCTATCCCCTCAGCCTGTTAGCGACTAGTCCCGAGGGGGAATGCTAATACGAGAAGAGGCATCCTCTTGGAATATATAATGCCACTAGCAGACAGAGCTTTGCTACCCGAGGGAGTAGCATCATTCCCTGTGAGTGATGACTCATTAATTTATTCTCCGCTGGTTTATCCTGAAAGCCACTAATCCTACATCCTGTAGATTCATAATGGAGAGCGTTTGGGATGTCAGATAAAATAGATTTCACAGTCATTGCGTCTGTGGCTGTATTTTGGATGGTTTCGGCACAATTTATTTGTGCAGTTTTGTTTTACATAATAACGCGTGTTCATTGAGAGCTTTTATACAATTGATAAATATGCCGCTTAGTTTATGTAGATTTTTTTCCCACTACTCATTTCTGAACCACTTTTCCAGCCCAGATAACTTAATTCCCACAAATACCACTTTTTTCTTAATATATCCCCAGAAAGTCAAATGAGCATGCTTGGTATTTTCCATTTATTCCACATTCACACTGTCCCAGTGCAGCATGTTAATGGTAGAACAGTTTCTCTCCTGAGAGATTCCAGCCTGCAACCCCTCTGGTCATTAGCCAGCCTCTCTACCCTCTCGGCTCCTGCAGTGCTACATAATCAGAAAGATCTGGAATGCCAAGAAAAGTGAATGCATGAGAATTTCCTCCTTAGTTGGTGACTGCAGAAACAAAAGATATGACTGTGAAATACGGTCATCTCAGTGTTAGGAAGGTTGGTTGATGCCCCAATAGAGCAGGACACTGCATTATAGTGTCGCTAATAAATATTATTAACAGCTCAGCAGTGATTACACATAAATCCACCATCATCAATACCGTATCGAGCCATTCACTGACATCCTCAAGGTTCAGCTGTCAAGATTTACGTCTCATTTTTTCTTGTCCTTGTCACTGAATCTCACATTTCTCACTGCCCGTTAAAGAAATATACAGCAGCAACACAATGCTGCGAGCACCTGCACAGTCGAATGCAGTCCTTTGCATTAGGGCTGCTAGAAATTGTACCTATTTGTGAAAACACTGTCAGAGGTGTTAATTTGTTAATTTTTGAGGACTTCATCTGTGGTGTTATGTTAGATTTTCGATTAGATAACACCTTTTTAGAATAATTTATTGTGTGACCAAGACTGCCAACACCTACAAATGAATGTTGTGTTTTTTGTCTCCCCAGAGGCCGCCAACGGGAACGTCCCCGCGGGGCAGCGACCCCCACCTCGAATCCGCAACGTTCAGATCAACAACCAGATCGTCAAGCTCAAATACTGCTATACCTGCAAGATCTTCCGACCACCTCGAGCATCTCACTGCAGCATCTGTGACAACTGCGTCGGTAAGATAACGTAATCTGAACTGCCATGAGTTCTCACGATGCTCAAACAAAGGCTTTACAAAGTGAGAAGACAGCTCATTGAAGCTGGTTTATTTCAGGTTTTCAGGAATAGAAAGGTGAGGATTGTTTTGTGGGGGAAAAAAAACCCTTTTGACATTATGATTATTACTGATGCCTTGATCTTAATTACCTCTCTGCATTCATTTGTCACAATGATCAAATCATTGAAAAAATCATAGCTTTAAAAATAAATGTTAGACTAAGAACATAGGGTGAAAAAGTTTTACAAAATGGGCCAGAAACTTCAGAAGGAGTGTTTTTTTTATGGAATATGCTCTGAATTCGGTGTGTGCGTGTCTGTGTGTGTAGCTGTGTGTGTATGTGTGTGTGTGTGTGTAGCTGTGTCATCTCTCAACCCTGTAGAATAACAGTGATTTGGCTTCTGATGATTGAGGAATGTGTCTGAGGGGAGCGTAGACTTAGGCGATATGAGAGGAAACAGTGGAGGCTCAGTGAGGGAATAAGCGCTTAGTCATTGTGAACACTGGTTCAACTGTGTCCACCTGCTGTAGAAACACACACACACACACACACACACACACACACACACATAGTCCAAGCATGACACAGCAGCATGCCTCAGTCCCTCTTTTACTGCAGTCATATGTTTTCTTGACTTAACTTTATAGCGGTTAAAGTCTCTCACAGAATATGCAGCATAATTAAAAAAACAGCCAAACCATTTCACAAATGATATTTGTTTATGCCCAGGGCCTTCTGTGGTTAATATATTATGAGATATCTGATGTGCAGTATAGTGAGTATTTGGACAGTTGTTTTAGCTCTGTATGTAGCAAATGGGAGTTGAAATAAAACGGGGTTAATGTGCTAGTCTGCTTCCAGACCTCTGAATTACTGCACACATGTTTGTTCATCTCTCATGTCAAAGTGGCAGTTCAGTTTGATTTATTAAGCTAGTGAAGTGTTTTAGCTTTAACTTGAGGGTTTTGACATTCGTATTTTGTGAACGTCACAGAGGATTATTGTCCTGCTGCAATCGATGTGCAATTTAGACAAGACGACACAGTCTCCAGCCGTGTTCTCTGTGAGGCTGCTTTGTGGTGCTTTGAGTTGAACGCTAACGTCATGCGTCTTGCAATTCTCACAATGATAACGTTGATATTTACCAGGTATAATATTTACCATGTTAAACTTTTGTTATGTTGCACCAAACAGTGTCTTTGGTTCTTCAGGTGTTTGGTCATAAACCAAAGTGTCAGACACTCTGAAACATTCAGCTGATGGTGCTAGATGAAAGGTCAAGAGAATCACCAAAGTGAATACATGTTCATTGAATGTCTGTACTAAAACTTCATGTTAATTGTATTTCAGTCTGAATAAAAGTGTTGGATCAAATGCCTGACTGACCAATTGACACTGCCATCCCTAGTGCCATTTCTCTAACGTTGAAAAAAAATATCTAAAATAGGTTCCTTTTCTAGTCTGTAAATATAAAAATGATCCATTTATTTTGTCCTTATATCTACAAGCTGCTTCACGTTTTATGTTTCTGCCTCTGTGTTTACTTATATTGTTGTGAAATTCCATCCGGGGAGTGCAGCTGTGTGCATGCTGCTGGGAAGAGAAAAGAAAAAAGCACGATGTTTACCTCTGTTGTCCGTGTGACCCTGCCTTGCTTTTCATCTGGCTCTGGCTCAAATTATAGAAGAGGAGAGGCATAGAGGAAGTGATCACTATATTTAGACTGCAGGTTTACAGAAGCTGATGCACAAAGCGGTCTTTGACTGCAGCTGGTACTGATGTGTTTGTAACACAAAATAAAGTTGGTGTTCAACCTCTGTTACAATTTTCATATTAATACTGTGACCTTTTCTCTTTTCCACAGACCGTTTTGATCACCACTGTCCATGGGTGGGCAACTGTGTGGGCAAAAGGAACTACCGATACTTCTACCTGTTCACGATGTCCCTCTCCCTGCTCACCATTTACATCTTCACCTTTGACATCGTCCATGTGGTCATGCGTGAGTATCCTGTCAGTCATTTGTCCGACCGGAAGGAACAGACAGGATACACGGATAGCTAACAGAATGTGGAAACACAGGACGAACAACCTCTGACACAAGCTCGCTTGCAGCTTCTAGCATAAATGCAAATGCATGCACATATGCTAAGACTATGACCTAATTCAGACCAGGCTTTTCTTGGAGTGTGACATGACACCCAGCAGCAACTGACAGCTTGACATGATTCCTCCTTTATCCTCATCCCACTGCTTCCTTGTTCTACCCAGCGCATACAGCGGAAAGACAGAGAGACATAGGAAGCACGATTTTCTAGTCAGGATAATTAGCTCTGGGCTTGTTCTCTTAATACTGGAGTTATATGTGAGAACTGTGCCAGTTTCAGTTGAGAAAAACTGAATAAGGAAGCAGTGGGTCTTTCCTTTATAACTTCTCTCTTTGCTATGTTCACAGGTTCAGTGGATAATGGCTTTTTGAACACTTTGAAGGAAACACCTGGAACATATCCTTTTAAGCTCTGACCACAGTATATACCACAAAAACAGCTGCTGTGTGTGCGATGTTTACCAGATTTCATAGAACAGATAAATGAAAAACATCAAGATTCCCTAAACCTCCCCCAACAGTGATATTACAATAATATCTTAGCATCTGTAACTTGAAACAGCAGGGCTGTTAAGCTTTGGATTTCTTAACACCATGATGTGATTTTGTAGCCTTTCCAAAACCAAAAACGCAAGAGCAAAAGTGTGAGGAATGGATTAGTGTTAATTTGCTCTATCGGAAGCTGCAGCCATTAGCACGTCCAGCTAATTATAGCCACATAACTGAGTGTTACTTCCAAGGCCAAGGAGCATAGCTAACGACATTAGTTTATTGGGGCTGTAGTTTTTTTTTAAAGTCACTGTCTAGCTCATACACTGTGTTGTTTTTTTTGTCTTTCTTCTGTTGTTACTGGATTTGAGAACATTTAGCAACCCTGGCCAGCGTTACCCGAGATGGCCCCATTATTCTAAACGGCAATAATCTGAAAAATTCCCGAAAACAAAAGCCCACCAAGGCAATGTGGTAATAATAAACATGTGGTTAATGTTGTGAAACGGTTGCAGTTTGGTTTGATTCAGGCACCAAAAGGTTTAGGAAAGTTAATGGTTCGAGGCAGAATAAGTTAGTTGTTGTATGTATTTTTCACAGCGATGGGCGTTTGTTTTCAGAAAAACTGGCGGACAATTGGGCATTTTTTGGACTATTAAGGTTTCAGAATAATGGGTTAAATAATGGCATGCTGTTTGAAAATACAAACAGTTGTGTACTGTGCTTCCAAACAGTGTCATGTTAAAACGTGTTAGTCTGATCTTAAATGTTCCTGATCATACTTATATCACTCAGACCGAATAGCGCTACACTGCAATCAAAGGACCATCTTCCATTATTAACTGATGAGGATGCTGACTTTCCTAGTCCCAGCTGTTTAGCACAATAACATGTATGTTGTTTTATTAACAAATCAGCTGGAAACATTCAGCCAGAGATAGCGTTGTCAACCATCTCCTGCAGCTAGCATTGGTTTAATTAACTTGCTCCAGCTGATAAAATATGCTAGTGACATTTATCATTTCAGCCGGCAAAATCAACAATCACTGGATAGATATTTTTGTCTATTTCGATGATGCGTCTGCCACAGTTTTGCTCCTAAAAACTGCGTATGTACTGTGCAAGAACAAAAAGACTGACAGGCATAGCCACAGTAACTGAGGGCCGTGAGGCGTAACAAATGAAACGGATAAAAACCTCCCGCCTTTGTCCTTATACTTTATTTAGACTTTGGTTCCTTTCGCTGACCGTCACTGGCTTTAATCATGTTACATAATTGTCTTCTAGTTTGCGTCACCTGCTGTCCACTGTTTAATCAGTGACCATGTGTCAGGCAGGAAACATCTGTTACTGTTTTCTTAACTTGAGTTCACTGTGCTCGAGGTGTTGGTGTGCTTCTTCACCCTGTGGTCAGTGGTGGGACTGACCGGTTTCCACACCTACCTGATCTCTCTCAACCAGACCACCAATGAGGATGTAAGTGCATCTTTCTGCATGTTCAGTTAAACATGTTCACTGACATTAGTGCCTTTTTTGTCCATTCAAACTGCACATGACTACAGATGCTGTTGTCACATGAATGAATCATACTATGTGGCTCAATGCTGCAATTCTTTGGATCTGGTTTGTTTATGTCTTTATGTAAATGACTCATGATTAATCCATTCTTTGGTTAGTTTTCTTTATTATCAGTAAAGTAATTTACAGTGGTTGAAAGTGCAAAATCATGCTCTGCTAAACTGCACTTAGGCTTAGGTTTAGGCACTAGGCTTTTTTTGTCTTGGTAAATGGACTGCACTCGTATGCAGCGGGATCAAACCGGCAACCTTCTGATTAGTGGATGACCCGCTCATGTAAACTAAAGCCCAACAGGTGATGAGCTGTTTGTTAACTGCCAAAAATGCCACCTTATCTGTTTATTTGCAATAGTAACAGTTTTGCTTTGTAGCTAACAACTATCTATAAAGAGACACACTTGCATTTATACCTTTTCAACATCATGCTTCCAGGTAGCACTTGGCTTTGTAGATATCCAGTTGACATGAAGTGTAAATACTGGAGATCTGACCCAAATATTCAGGCACTTTTAGCTCTTCTGATTGATGCTTACTCGAATTTCACCGTTATTTTCCCTCCAAACAATCTAAACTCAAGAAGGAAAACGCTTCAGTGTTAATTGACCTAAACAGACCACTAGTAAATGTACCATAAACGTCATGTTAGAACAAAGTCCTACCCCACTGATCAATTGCAGATAAGATAAAAATAAGAACATCCTTAGATGTGTGACACATGTTTTAAGATTATTTGTTTTAAAATTATATCTACATAAGTGTAATTGTAAAGTATAGTTTTAAGAATATGTCTTTAAATGTTGTGATCGGACAGCCTGCCTTCACGTGACTGGAAAGATAAACATACATCACAGAGGTGTAAACATTACAATTTCTAAGACTACAGAGCTGTTTCCTTGACAACGGCACTGCCTCGTCCAGCACCGAAGGACAGGGGACTGGTAAACTGTAGCTTGTTAAACAAGACTATTATGTTGTATACTAAAGTAAAGCCAATACAGCAAGTGTTTCAAACTCAAATAAAAAGAAAACAGTCTGTCAGAAAACAAGATCTTGACTGAACTGCAGCTACGACAGAGACAAAGACATACTGCATGTCACATTTGTTTGTTCCACAAGGCAAAATAGAGCTGACCAATGTTTCTGCCTGTATTTTAGTATGTTAATATCCCCTCTTTCTATCCAGCTCTGCCACACTCAGACCAAAAATCTCTTCACAGGGGGAATGTGGCCAATACAGCAGGCGCGGTTTTATTCTGCTCAGCCTGAGCCATATGACAAATTGGCTGTTAAATGCTTTGAATGCTAAAAGCAGCAGTTGGACTCCTCTCTGCTCACCAAGGCGACATAGTCTAATGATCTAAAAATATGCATGAATAGCTGCTATTCTTCATAAAAACCAATCATAGGTGCGAGCTGAAATAAGAACAGAACAAACATAAGAACAAAAAAGACCAGCTGGATTCTGACTCTCAACTTGTCAGCTACATTTAGAAGAAGATTGTGAGGCTAAATGAGGAAAAAAAAAATATTGATTGCTTGATCTTATTACCACTGAGTCATTATTTAGTCACTACACACACACACACTCAGGCTGATCTAGAGCAGAAGATGAGTGGCGGTGATGCAGGTGGATGAATCCACTGAGAGAGTAATGTATGTTGTGTCTGTGTATACTAGCATTAACAGTGTGTATACGTTATTGAAGGTTTGGTTAGTCCAGATCTGACTGCAGAGGCTCTGACGAGAAGCGGAGAGCAGCAGCAGCAGTGATGTTGGAGGTGGGAGGTTCTAGATGGCTGAAAGCAAGAGAGTGCACTCATACTTTGTTGCAATGATTAATTTATTATTCCCCTTTTTCCTTTCCTGTGGGATGGCTGGCCTCATTTTTTTCATTTAATCAGTAATGAAGCTGTGCAATGTGCACCTACAGTTTAATGTTGCTCCAGGAGTTGAAACAATGGCTGTCAGCACGGCCGTTTCAATATCTGTGATTGGCCTAATAATAGATGCATCGATACCTGCAGGGGCTGGGCACACTGCCAGAAATACTGCTGTAAGGTGGGGGGGAGAGGGTGAGAGAGAGACAGAGAGAGAGGGAGAAGGAGGAGAAGAAGAGGAAGATAGAAATGGTGGAATAAGGGCAAACGAAAAGGCACCTTGAGTGTTGTAGCTGCTCTAGTCTCCCATAGGATAACACATGCTCTGTCAACTGTGTCTCCTGCACACGCACACACACACACACAGATAGTACACGTAGGTTTGCAGTACTGAAGTACCTTATGGGCAGACTGTTGACCTATATCTACTGCAGCTAAAAAAAAAAGCTGTTGTTTTTGACTCGCGGGAGGGTCAGTGAGTACAGACTCATGCTGCGCAGCCAAACTATGTTTAGTTTAGGGGTCAATTATATAAGTCAGTCTATCAATCTACTTTCTCTTATTCTTATTTCTGCAAGAAAAAAATTTAAATAGAAAATATAAAGTCGATTTGCTTTGTTGTTAATGCAGTTCTTCTTAAAATCAGGTTTAGTTTTCATGATAGAAATTATTATAATATTCTATTTACATTTTTACTACAACTAGCACTGTACCTTACTGTCTTTGATTGATGCTCTATTCTCTGATGCTGATGAGTCTATGAACATTTCTATCATTTCGGATTGACTGCATCAACATGAAACAATAAAAAAGTTTATAAAATGATGCACAGAACATCCAGATATTTTCATTTGAAGAAATTGTTTAGTCATAATAAGCACCAGGTTAAAGTAAAATAAGTAAGTATTTTACTCACTATAACACATAAATATGAATCATGTTGATACAGAATATGTGTATGATTCTTAAAGCTTCTTAAAGGAAAACAAAAGAGCGAAACTGAATGTTTAGGGGTTAAAATATGCCTCCTGGTAGCAGCCAAATAATGCATATTTCTGAGAGTACAGTGTGGCAGGACTGGGGGAATCCTTTGTGAATTCTCTGATTTTTCAATGAATTATTAAAGTTGTTTTAATCTGTAGTAGCTGTAGCTTGTTGGCACCCGTTGGCACATAGAGTTCCAATTAAACCAGGAATCATTAAATCCCCGTCAAGATCCTTTTCAGTAGGTCAAAGCCAAGCCTGTGGGAATAACATCTAAAAATGGAACTATGCTTTTGAATAAGGTATAAAGCAGAGAGAAAGTCTTTTTGAAAGAGAGCTGAGCGAGAGGATGTGTTAGGGATGTTGGTTGATGGTTTGGGAAGTTCCAGTGATGCATTTTGTTTTGCCCAGATTAAAGGATCCTGGTCGGGAAAGAACAGAGTCCAGAACCCATACAGCCACAAGAACATCATCAAAAACTGCTGTGAAGTGCTCTGTGGCCCAACGTACCCGAGGTAACTCCTTCACAGCGCTATCAATGAGTTTTGTATCAGTGCCTGTGATAGATTAGACAATTGTCCCTCTCCTACACCTCATTCTGGCGAATAACGAGCAGGATGCAGTTAGTGACTGATGGCTTTGTCTCGCTCTCCAGCGTCTTGGACAGAAGAGGAGTGATGCAGGAGGATTCGCCTGTTTCTGCAACGTCTGCTGCACCCTATTCCACCTCCTCCAGCAGCAGCAACCCAGTGCCACAAACCACAGTGAGCAAGCACACACACGCACACACACACACACACACACACACACACACACACACACACCCTCCCCCTTCACAC